TATTATTATTATTGATTTATTAAGTGGATAACTTTAAGTTAGTTCGTTTTATAAAAAAAAATACAAAATTTGAATTTTGATTTAAAAGAATTTCACAATTTAACCTCACTTGACTTTTCCCCTAAATTCCGAAAAAACACGTACACCCAACAATTGTTCGTATTTGTCGTCAATTTATTTAGCAAGGATCTAATTTATTCTAACACTTATTTTTACGCATCATATTGTGGTTTAAATTAGATACCAGGCATTGTTGATAAGTTAAAGTTGTTTACAATTTTGATATTTTTCTAAAATATTTTGATTTTCAATCTTATTAACAAATGGGTAACTACAATAATAATTGTGTATATATTCAATTTTCAGTTTTCGCATATGGTAGAGTTATAGATATTTATGTCGATAGACGAATTGAATTGGTTTATGCCAATGAAATTAGGTTATGGTATCATATAGGTATTTTACAGTTCTGATTGAATCTAGGTTTAATTTCCTCTCTGCAAGACTTTTCTAAATTGCTTCTCTTTTAATTGAGGTGAATACTTTGTTTTCTTCTAAGTACTCCTTCCACATTCTTATGATTGTATCTTCATCTGTTATTAATTCTTAACCATTTGAGTGTACACAACAGATTCGCATTTTTCTGGTGTTTTATTCTAAAATCTGTTCATATTTTTCCCAGCTTCTTTCGCCTGTCTGACGTTTTCCTTTACTATAGGTCTGGGTTACTTATACCATGTGGTCATTAATTATTTAGATCAAAAAATGCTGTGCGATTTTAAATGTATGTCTCCTCGGTTTCGTATACTTTTCAGATTATGCAATTAAACACACACATGTGTAATGTTGGTTGCATACTGACATAAATCAATTCAGAAACGAAGGTTAGCGCTTGCTTGTTGTAAACTAGAAAAACTAATGAAAGAAAATAACTTCTGCAGATTTGTGAATAAGTTCACTTAAAAGGCGAAAACAAAGTTAAAGAAACTGTTGGAAATGATATCCATTCTACGGGAAGTCCAACATCTTGCGACAGATATCTCAATATAGTTGATGGATTATTTTCCATGCGTTCTTCGACATCTTATACTATAACTTCATTAGTAGGGGAAAGTGTTCCACAATGAGACGTAATTTATATTTAAATTTAGTGCTCATTACAAAAATGCATTAACAATTCTTGAGGAAGAAAAACATAGAAAAAAAGATAAGAACAATGTGAAGAAGACCGTAAGAAAGATTTTTGTAGAACCAGATTCAGACGAGGGCTGCAGTGATGATTCCATGGTGTCAGATACATCATCAGAGTATGATGTTGAAATTGAATTAACGCTTAACAATGATTATGAAAATTTAGACAAAAAACCAGAACCAGATGATTTTGTTTTGGTAAAATTTTCGGCTACAAAAGATATTTCCTACATTCGAAAAGTTATCGCTGTACATTTGCAATCTTTACCAACTGGAAATGAATTTGAAAGCACCTTCTTACGAAGAAGCGACAAAGTGAAGGAAAAATTTTGTTTCCCTATAGTGAAATACATCGTTATGGTTGCAGAAAGCGATATCGAAATGATATTGCCCAAACCACTTTGTGTGGGCACAAAGCACCAACAAAATTTATTTTCAGTTGAAGTCAATTTTTTTTATTGTTTGTTTTTTCTAAATACATTTATTTACAATATATTTGGATTACATTTTTATTAAGGTAAATAAAGAATCGCCACGATTCTGTGAAATACTAGATACCCCCAAATAAATTTCCTGCACTGTCTTGTAGGGTAAGCGAAGAAAAATGTTGCTTCTCCGGTGGGAATCGAACCGCACGTTTACCGCTTGCCGGGCGGGTGCCCTTACCACTAGACTACGGAGGAGCTTATCTTTCTTCGCTTATTGCTACGTATTATTGTGTCGTCACAGTCTCATTGTAGAATTTGGATTGTGTTATTGTTGAACAGTCTTGGTCTACATTAAGACAAAAGAATACGTAGTAGAATAGCAAAAAATTAAATTTCTAAATTATAATATAAAAATTATATATAATACTATTTATAAAAAGTGTCTCATTGTGGAACGCACGGTACATACTAATCATATTTCGCTGCCGTTTTATTAACAGAGTCTTTCGGAAAGTGTAGGTCAAAGAAAAACTTTTGGGCGACTAAATAGAGAGACGGAGGCAATCTGCACTGAGATTATTCGAGACTCGAAAATCCCATGACTCCTGTCAAATTCAGTCCAAGGCCGTAGGCGAAATAAACTTAAATGAAAAGGGAAATCAACTGTTTTTGCTAAAAATGTGTTTAAACTTTAATGAGGCCGAATTTACGCGTCTAAAAAATGTACGTTAGGAATATACATATGTATCTTTTAAAATTTCTAAAAAACGCGACAAAATAACTTAAAGTTTTTAAAACAACGTCTTATAATTAACAGATTTGTGAAACCACTAAATTTCGCTGTGATGACATATCATAATAATATTAATAATGATAATGTTTATTGTGCATTTACTGCATCCTGTTTACAGTCGTCAAGTTCACGATATTACATAAACACTCATTACATTACGTTAATATCATTTTACGTTGTTTATTTTATTTTCATTTTAAAAACAGTGTACATTTTCTACATAGAGTGATTCGTCTAGTGACCACGGGCTGCTGCAAAATCTTGAAACTAAAGACACTGGCGTTTACGACAGTACGACTAATCGAGTTCTATAGTGAGCAGTTTCTCGCATATCGGCAATAATAATACGACTCTGTCGGGTTCTTGTTCCCATTGAAATATTTAAGACGTTGAGAATACCAGAACACGATTTCGTTACATTAAGTGTGTTATTTAAAACACTTTCTAGCTAGATTCAATAAAAATGTTATTTTTCCCGTCCTGACTAAGCGCTTTTCCCGGCCGTAAATTCCCCCCGTCTACCAATAACAGTGTACTACGCTCTACAAATATTTAAATAAATTCGTAAAGAGAAGGGCTTCATTAAAACATTAAAGATGTCTAGACACCGGCATAAATAATGTAAAAATCCATCTTCACATTGAGCTTATAAATTTTACATCGCCTTTATTCGGCATTAGGTCCCGTGATCGTTATAATTTTTTTCGTCGAGTCCTTGGCATCTACGAGATCTTTTTTCGCAAGAAAAAAGAAAGCGGTGTCTTTTTTTCGGGAATACGTCGCGAAAAATTCGCTCTGCGGTAAAAATAACGCGTTTTCTCACATGTCAACATGGTGCGTCTCGACGTAAATATTTGGGTTTTTGACCTTTGAGGCGACTTTTTTCCGTGGGTTTTTTTGTAGATGTCATGCGTCGCATTATGAAAATTTTATTCAAGTCTGGCCAAATTGTGACGTTCAAATAACGTGAACCTGAACTAGATAAATATATTTGGGAGTTGGTCCATTTGTGATGTTTTGACGGCGGTGGTCATGTTATTGTAGGCCATGGATGGAAAATAACAAAGGATTGTGTAGAGCGTAAACTTTGGCTGACTTCAGCTTGGGTGCTACTTTGTACGCATTCAATGCATTCCGTTTAAGTTTAGTTAAATTATCTCTGATTCCCAGGATTAACAACAGGATGAAATTTTAATTTCTACTTTTCGTACCGCTTCATTTGTGTTTCCGTCTGTATGTCTGTGATTTGTGGTCTGTCCATGGACGGACACATTAAGGTATTTTACACCGGAAGGCTCTACAGACGACACTAGAAAAAGTTTTTTAGACAACCTTAGTTCCAACGTATATTCAAAAAGCCACAATGTAGGTGGAACGTTCCTATTTTTGTTATTTTTTTTATTTAGCTCTTAGTGACAGCAATTGAACGGGTGGGTGAGGAATTTGTTGTAAACAAAAAAAGATATAATATTACATGGGTAAAAATTTGATAAGGCTGTTTAAGTAATTTTTTTGACATAAATTTACAAAGAATTTAGACGTTTGCACTTACCATTTTTTTTGTGTCTGTACGTGTTCGGTGAATTTGCTCGTTTTATAACCTTGAAACCGAACGGCTCTTGGAAATAGATAAGTAATTGTGAAAGAGCACTTCTGATAACCGTGACTTAAGTCGAGCTTTCTGGAAGTCGGTGCTGGAAACATGCCAAAAATTTTGATATGCAATGACAGGCCGTTACTTAGAAAAGTATTAATAATTATTAAAGACGTTAGTTTTTTTACTTAAGGTTCCTGGTAAATGTTATTAATCGGTTCAAAAGGATGATGGATGGAGATTTATAGGTATTAAAGTAACTTGATTAAACACAGTGATTAAAACGAAACACACTTCTTAAAATTGTTTTTTGTTGAAGTTATCGTTAAATGCTCCCCATCAAATCTCATTTTGGCAACGAATTTATTTTTTTTAACTAAGCATATTAGAAAAATTAAAAATTAACAACACTTAGATTATTTTGTTAAATTGGGAACGTATTACTTTACTTTTTTAAAAAAGTAAGTGACAAGTGGTTTGTGTCAACACGAGATTTTACCTCCAGACAACCGAATATTTTTTTTTGGAGGAAATTTTGCATTCAGAATCTAAATCTTTGTTCGAAAAAATTCTATTATAATGTTTTAAAATTTATAAAATATATTAGCAAAAATTTTACACATTTTTTTTTAGAAAGCATGTTGGACGATAAACGTTATAATTATTTTACATTCATGGTAAAGACGTTTTTCCGTCAAAAATAGTTATTATTTGATATCACTCAGATAAAAATAAAATAAAAAAATTGCTATCAAGTGACGATTCTGTTTCGAAAAAAAAAGTGTTGGTTGATTTTCAGTTTTCGTCAGAATTGCCTTTTGCAATCGATATTCTAGAATTCTAGCTCCAACAACCACTCAAGAAATATTTTTAGAAAACCGCGTCCGCCATTTTGATTTTGGGCCATCCGCCAAATCTTCGACATTTTTAACGAAATTTCGTCGAAACCGAATCCTGTCGTGTCGGCCTCAATTTCCAGCAATTCCATCCCTCCCTTGATCCCAACAACTTTCCAGTGTAGCGCTCCACAATCATCAAAATATGTTAATAGATATTACCTGTCTGTTATAAAAGTCAGATCGCGAACGTAACGTAACCAAAAACCACAACAAACCCGTATCGTGCGTGACCTTATACCGAGTGTTCGGATCTTAACCCTAGAAAACCGATCCGCTTCCTGTGAAAACCCACTCGAATTTTGTGTAGGATTTCAGCGGTTATCGCGCTTTTCAATTTGCTGATTTTCACACTAGACAAACCGTCTAGCCGGCTAAAACGAAAATAGTATAGGAAAACAAGTGAACGCGACAAAGAAACAATACGACGTTCCTACTCCGACTTACTATCCAAGCACGATTCTAATAATAAGACACCTTAGTTTAAATTGTACGCCAGCTCGACGAGCATCTCGAGACGTTCGCCGGAGATTTTGACGGACGCCACTGTGTTGAGTGCCGAAATGAGCCCCCTGCTGCTGCTCTTGGTGGCGGTTTGCGTGGACGGCGCGCCGCTGGCCCGCAGTCCCCACGACCTGGAGGCCATCGTCGAGCACTTTTTGGAAAACCTCTACGACAAGCTCCACGATAAGGGGGGGCAGGACATCTACGACCAAATGCAAGGGGACCAACCGCCCGATAACAACATCAGCCCGGACCTGTCCAGGTTCCTCTCGGTCAATTTTTCCGCCCCCACCAACATGACCGACTACTTCCGCGCCACCAGGGACAGGTAAGCCCGGAAAATTAGGAACCATTTTCGTAAAAAAAAATCGTTCCGCATTTTTCTCAATTTTCTAATTCCCGTTTTTCGTGCACAGACACCGGGAAGTCGATCTCGACGTCAGGTAAAAGTGTGTGTTGCATGCGCCCTTTGCTTTTTTTATTTTTTTTTTTTAAGTACCCCCCAGTTTCGAGTAGGCAAACATTTTGCATATTTTTTTTTTATTCAAGGCCATCGTTCGCCTTATTTCACACAAATAATGTGCCTCCCAGTAATTAATTCAAATTGTTACGACTTTTGGACTGTGGGGGGTCGGGGCCAGTGCGATGTGATGTAAGATCGAAAAATTTTAAATCATTTTGTCTAATCGTCTAATTGGCTTGCCCCTTAATTTTTTTTGTGACGTGTTTGATGAATTTGTTTATTGTGTAACCTTGGCGACGAACGGCTCTGGGAAAAAGATAGTTAAGTCATGTGGAAGAGCGTTTCCGATAACTGTGACTTAAGTCGAGCTTTCTGGAAGTGGGCGGGAGTCACGTGTCAAAAATTTTGACATGCACTGACAAGTTAAGTTTGTTACTTAGAAAAGTATTAGTAATTAAAAGACGTTAGTTTTCGGTGCTGGGATTCCTGGTAAATGTTATTAATTGGTTCAAATAGATGATAGATGGAAATTTTTAAATATAATCGACTTAATTGAACGCAGTGATTGTAAAAAAATCACACTCCTCAAAGTTATTTATTGTCGTCATCATTAAATACTTAATAACAAAGAATAACTATGTTTTCAACGAACTTAATGGTCATTTTTAAAAATAAGCTTAAGAATTTTTAAATATTTTTGATTAAAATTGTTATTTAAATGTTAGAATTTATAACAAACAGAAGTGATAGTTGTCAATTTTTGTCGGACGACCAATACATTTTTTTAAAGATTAAATAACACACATTTAGTTTTTTTTTAAATACAACTAAAAACTATGAAATTTAGTGTAGCTAATTATTTTTCAACAGAATTTTCTTTCTGGTCCAATATTTGGTAAAACCTAGACTTGATTTACACGAGTTACCACTGAACTCAGTCAGGAGTTTCTAAAATCATTGTGTCCAATTGTCCAGTTAGTTTGGTCCCTTCATTTTTTTTTTATTGTTATGCGTTTTAAGAATTTATTTGTTCGGTAACTATGTATATTAACGAACGGTTCTTGAAAAAAAGGAATCTAAATAATTGTGACGTAAATTGGTAATATGTCAAAAATTTTGACATGCCCGAATAGGTTATGTTTGCTACCCAGAAGAATATTAGTATAATTTAAAGCCGGCCGTTTTCTGAGTCAGGGTTTTTAGTAAAGGTTGGTAATTGGTTCAAAAGACAGAATAATGGAGGTTTTCAAGAATAATCAACTTAATTAAACGTAGTGATTATAAAAAAAAAACGCTTCTCAAAATATTAGATACTCCATCAATTAACAAACAATAACTATTTATTCTAACGAATTTCGTGGTAGTTTTTTTTAATAATCTTGAGAATTTTTTGATATTTCGAATCAAAATTGTCATTTAGTTGGAAAATTTAAAATACACAGATTCAAAATAGAAGTCAGAAAAAATTTAGTTGTCAATTTTCGTCAGATAACATTAAGAATTTTTAAAGATTCGTATAATTCATGAAAATAACACACATTTAGTTTCCTTTTTTATACCTTTTGTTTTTTATTTAAATACAACTAAAAACTATGAACTTTAGTGGCGCTAATTATTTTTCAACAGAATTTTCTTTCTGGTCCAATATTTGGTAAAACCTAGACTCGATTTTCACGAGTTACCACTGAACTCAATCAGGAGTTTCTAAAATCACTGTGTCCAATTGTCCAGTTAGTTAATTTTTTTTGTTACGCGTTTTAAGAATTTATTTGTTCGGTAATTATGTATATCAACGAACGGTTCTCGAAAAAAGAAATCTAAATAAGTGTGACGTAAATGTTTTCTGGAAGTAGGCTTTGGTAACATGTCAAAAATTTTGACATGCCCGGATAGGTTATGTTTGCTACCCAGAAGAATATTAGTAATTTAAAGGCGGCAGTTTTCTGAGTCAGGGTTTTCGGTAAAGATTGGTAACTGGTTCAAAAGACCGATTAATGGAGGTTTTCAAGAATAATCAGCTTAATTAGATGTAGTGATTATAAAAAAAAACACACTTTTCAAAATATTAAATACTCCATCAAATAACAAAGAATAACTATTTTTCCAACAAATTTGATGGCCATTTTTTTTTTATAATTTTGAGAATTTTCTTATATTTCGAATCAAAATTGTCATTTAGTTGGAAAAATTTTAAATAAACAGATTCAAAATAGAAGTCAGAAGAAAATATAGTTGTCAATTTTCGTTAGACGACATTAAGAATTTTTAAAGATTCGTATAATCCGTGAAAATAACACACATTTAGTTTTCTTTTTTTACTTTTTTTTTTAATTTAAATACAACTAAAAACTCTGAATTTTTGTGTCGCCAATTATTTTTCAACAGAATTTTCTTTCTGGTCCAATATTTGGTAAAACCCAGATTTGATTTCTACGAGTTACCACTGAACTCAATCAGGAGTTTCTAAAATCATTGTGTCCAATTGTCCAGTTAGTTTGGTCCCTTCATTTTACGCGTTTTAAGAATTTATTTGTTCGGTAACTATATATGTTGACGAACAGTTCTTGAAAAAAGAAATCTAAATAATTGTGACGTAAATGTTTCCTGAAAGTACGCATGTCAAAAATTTTGACATGTCCGGATAGATTATATTTGCTACCCAGAACAATATTAGTAATTTAAAGGCGGCAGTTTTCTGAGTCAGGGTTTTTAGTAAATGTTGGTAATTGGTTCAAAAGACAGAATAATGGAGGTTTTCGAGAATAATCAACTTAATTAAACGTACTGATTATAAAAAAACACACTTCTCAAAATATTAAATACTCCATCAAATAACAAAGAATAACTATTTTTCCAACGAATTTGATGGTAATTTTTTTTAATAATTTTGAGAATTTTTTGATATTTCGATTCAAAATTGTCATTTAGTTGGAAAAATTTTAAATAAACAGACTCAAAATAGAAATCAAAAAAAATTTAGTTGTCAATTTTCGTCAGACGACCAATGAAAATTTTGAAAGGTTCGTATAATCCGTCAAAATAACATTTAGTTTTTTTTAAGTTAAATACAACTAAAAACTATGAACTTTAGTGTCGCTAATTATTTTCCAAAAGAATTTTCCTCCTGGTCCAATATTTGGTAAAATCTAGACTTGATTTCCACGAGTTAACACTGAGCTCAAGTTTTTGAAAACAGAAATCTAAATAATTGTGACGTAACTATTTTCCTGAAGCAGGCGTTGGCAACATGTCAAAAATTTTGACATGCACAGATAGGTTATGTTTGCTACTCAGAAGAGTATTAGGAATATAAGGCGGCAGTTTTCTGAGTCAGGGATGTTAGTAATTTTTGGTAATTGGTTTAAAAGATAAATTAATGGAGGTTTTCAAGAATAATCAAAAAGAAAGGCAGTGATCATAAAAACACACTTCCTGTCATTGTTGTGGTAAGTCATCAATGATCTTTTTTTTTATTTGTCATTTTCGGACGATCAATTAATTTTTTTTAAAATCGTAGATTCTGTATCCTAGAAAACTTAAAAGTCTTGTATATAAAGTAACGTGTACATATATATTTAATACAAAAATCCGCTCCACCTGCCTTCTTTAAACTCAAATCATTTCAAATTATTTAAATATTTCTTGCACGATCCTTGGTTTGCTACGATCTCATAAACGAGTGGAATTTAAATTCCCACAGTGATCATTAAATTTGATATCGTACATAAGTAATGTGAGATCATTTAATAAAATTTAATCTCATAAGAATCATCGTAAAAGCAAAAAACTTCGAAAAGCGTGGAATCAATGAAACCAGCGACGCTCCGGAAACGATCACACGTACAGTGAGTGAAAAACGTGTGGTTGTCGATCGCAGGTGTCCCGATGCCTCACCGTGACATTAACATAAATTTTGAAAACTGAAAACACACGAAGTACGCACGAAAAAAACAAATGCGGAAATAGTTGGTAAACAAGTGAAAATACGCGTCTGGCGATTCACGTCGTAAACACGAACCGTACGATGACAATAAAACGCGTAAATCTTATTACGACAGACATCGACAACAGGCCACTAAACTTGTAAACGATGACATTATGCGATTTTTTCCGAACAGACATAAAACGCAAAAGTGTGATAAATGACCGCTAGAGTGAGACGGAAGAGAGAAAAAACGACCACCTGATGAGACGGTTCAACAGGTGTTCTTCAAACAGTGTCATTATTCATGAGACGGCATGAATGAAGAAACAGTCTTCTGCGAAATGACAAATTCTTAGATCGGATCTGGCGGGATTTTTTTGTGCGAGCGAGATGTGGTGTTAGATAAGTTGGCGATAATTAAAAATTCGCGCGAATTTCGGCCGGTTGCACAACTTTGATGTAATGTTGTCGATACTGGGAAGCGTGATTTGGGGGGGAAATGCGATGGGATGGTTGAGTGGCAGGCGGCTGTGGAAATGGTTTATTGTTGGTGCAAGTAGGCGTTGGAAAATTCTGTCAACGTGGACGCCATTTTTTGTGGGAGATGGTGTGCTTTAAATAAATGAGGTTTTATTCGTTTGGCGTCATTGACGTATTAAAAATAAAGCGTTAGAATGAATGAAAATAAACCTGAAACAGTTGGGTGGAGATTAGTCGTTCGTTGCGCTACATTAGCATTTTTCTTTTATACAGAGTGGGCAACTGTGGAATGGTTTACTCTAAAAACCGGATAATTGGAACTGTAACTACACTACTACAGTTAGATTATGTGCAAACTTCTGAACAAATGATCTTCATGTTTTTATGACTGTTGTATTCCTGAAAGTCAATGTTCACTCCATGACGGACTCTACTTTAAAGTTGAAAAAAATATCCAGTTGTGACAACTTTGAATTACAAGAATAACCTAAAGCTCGGGTCATTAATCTTAAAACAAATAAAATTTGGTCAATTGCACAGAATTTTTGTGACTATTTCAGTTCGAGTAAACACTA